GCGTGGTTGCGCTGGGGTGTGGCTTGCAATCGTCGAACAAGAGAGGACGCCACAAGTGTAAGCTGTTGGCGCTCCGCGCGGGTTTCTGGGATCCGCGCTGGGCACCCCCCGGCTGCGCCTCCGGCGCCGCCCTTGGCGCTCTCCGCGCGCCAGGGAGGGGGGTTAGGCGCAGATGTAAGAAATCCGCGCGGAACGCCAAGAGCTTAGGTTTAAAATCGGCACCGGTGGGGCCTCGGGGTCACGACACAGTCCTCGTCGGGCCTCCTCGGGGCGTTGCGGAGAACTCCATCGAGGTCCCCGCCCGCCCCCCAGTGCGCTTCCCAGGGTGCCGGTTGCAAACCACACCCTTTGCAAGCCACACCCTTCGGAGTCGCCGACTCCCTCTCGCCTCGAGGTTGGGGGTTTTCAGGTTTTTTTGCGTTTTCGCAGGCTCCCATAGTCAGGTGTTGCAGCCTCGGCGCGTAGGTTTTCTGGCCCTGGGATGATCTCCAGCAGCTGCGCCTCGCCAAGAGCGTTCCTGGGGGGGCCCGGATCGCCCCGAGCTGGACAAGCGGCGATGCTGCCCCTGCGTCCCTCTTGGACGCGGTCTGGAGGGGGGTGACGACTGAAGGCGGGTATACCCTAAGATCCTGGTGTTCCACTGTTTTCGAGCCGAGCATGTTCGCGCCCGGTTTGGGTCCCAGGACCCTCGCAGACCGATCCAGCTCGAGAAAAATGGCTCACAGAGACGGGGCCTGGACTCGGCCGGGATGTCTCACGATGCTGCCAGGTCTTCGCTGCGTCGGGTCTCGGGTGGTGTCTTCGGTCGGGAAGTGTGCTGCTCAGCGTGACCCGCCGCCGCCGGCTCTGGCCGACCACGCTTCGGCGCGGCACGCCGGCCGCCTCCCAGTCTCCAAGCCGGTCCCAGCACCTCGCCCCGCGGAGCGGAGCGGCGCGCGATCCGCCTGCGAGGCGCAGGTGGGCGAGCGGCAGTGCTCCCCACGGCTCCTCCAGGGGTGGCGAGGGGGGGGGACGATTGGGGGGCAGCGGTATCTTCCCAGACGTCATGGCCCCCTCTTCGGATCGCTGAGAGAACGCGTTTCGGGCGCTTGCCTTGGGAACATTCTGCGGCGCGTTTCAAACCGGGGGGTGGCCCCCCCCCAAACTTTCGGCGCCGTCGATCATAACAAGGGGGATTCCCCTCCCCCCCAAACCCCTCCCCCTCTCGAACACCCCTCCCCCCCTCGGCGCCGGTGCTGGGGCGCTGGCGGCCGCCAGCAGCGCCCACGGCAGAACGCAGCGACGATGACCAGAGGCAGTTGAGGGGGGGGGGGGGAACCCCCCCCCCCTCCCAAGTGGGGGGTGTTTTACCCCCCCCCCTCGGCGCCGGCGCTGGCGGCGGCCAGCAGCGCCGCCGGCGCTGGCGCTGGCGACGGCGGGGACGCAGCGACGATTTCCACCACTACCACCACCACAACCACTACCACCACCACCACCGCCTCAACCCCCCACCACCACCACCACCAACAGCACCACCAACAGCACCACACCACCACCACCACCACCACCACCACAGCCACCACCACCACCACCACAACCACCACCACAACTCACCATCACCACCACCACCACCACAAAAACCCACCACCATTACCACCACCACAATCTACCACGCCACCACCACCACCACAAAAACCCACCACCACTACCAGCAGCACAACCCACCGCCACCACTACAAACCACCACCACCACCACCACCACCTCCACGACCACCACAACCAACGTCCACAAACCACCGCCACCACCACAACCCACCACCACCACCACAAACCACCACCACACCACCACAACCACCACCACCACCACAACTCACCATCACCACCACCACCACCACCACAAAAACCCACCACCACCACCACAATCTACCACACCACCACCACCACCGCCGCCACAACCACTACCACTACCAGCAGCACAACCCACCACCACCACCACCACCACCACAAACCACACCGCCACCACCACCACCACCGCCACAACCACCACTACAAGCACCACCTCCACAAACCACCGCCACAACCACAACCCACCACCACCACCACCACCACCACCACCACAAACCACCACCAAACTACCACCAAACCACCACCACCACCACAACCAACCACCACCACCACCACCACCACCACAAATCACCACCACACCACCACCGCCACCACCACCACCACCCACCGCCACAACCATCACCACCACAACAAGCCACCACACCACCACCGTCACAACCACCACCACCGCCACCACCACCACCACCACCCACCACCACCACCCCCGTCGTCCTCGTCGACGCTCCCCGCCACCGCCGCCCGCCGCCGCAGGCGCCGGCGCCGGCCAAGACATGGAAATCGTCGTCCCCGCCTTCGTCGCCAGCTGCCGCCGACCCAACGTCAGCGCCAGCCCAAGGAGAGGGGAAGCAGGGGGGGGGGAGAGGTTCGAACCCCCCCCCCCTCCCCTCCGTTTCGAATCCCCCCCCTTTCCGTTACGGGAGGGGGGGGGGTCCGGTTCCCCCTCCCCCCCCCCCTCCAAGCGACCACAGAACGCGCTCTTTCGGATCGCTGAATGCGTCCTTTTGCCCCCCCTGGGCCGCGCACGTGCCTGGGGCCATGATTTGCGCACTACCCCTCTTGGCCTTAGCGCGGTGCCAGCGTTAAGCCGATTGTTTTGCGGCTGCAGCCGTGTTGCCAGACTGTCCCGCTGCAGAGGTCGTTCGGCCGTTCACGACAGAGGGCCCAGCTCCGAACATGACAACGCTTTGGCACGCAAATAGAGATAATTCTGTCGGGCCTCAACGAGCCTGACCCCTCTCGCTTCGAGGTGGGATATTCGTAGATGTTCTTGCGTTTTCCTTGGTTCGGTTCCCGTGGATCTGCCAGTTTTGGGACGATCTCCAGCAGCTGCGCCTCGCGAGAGGGGGCCGCATCGTCCCGAACGGCCGCCAGAGACCCCGGCTATGATCCGAAGGTCGAGCAGGCATAGCGGAAGAAACGACGGCATCAAGCGTAATGTCCGAGGGCCCAGGCGGACTCCTTGGATCTGAGCTGGATCCCCCTGGCAGTGCCTCCAACACCGCCCCTGGCGCGTTCCGCGCGCCAGGGAGTAGGTTCCAGCGCTGATCTGAGTGATCCGCGCAGAATTTAACAAGTTTATGTTCATGCCTTTGCAGTCATCGTCGGAACTCCAGGCCAACCAGATGGGGCTGGAGCCAGTGAGGCCAGAGGGTCGCGCTGCGCCGCCGATGCATCGGCGATGCGGCGCGATCTGGAGCCCGTTCCTCTCCACCCCGCCGAGCCCGGCGTCGCCGATGCACCGTTGCGGCGCGAGCCTCCGCCCTCCTCTGCCCGGGCCCCACTTGCTTTGGAAGGCCTCCAGAAACACATCCCAGAACCGACGGGGACACGGTCAGCCAGCTCTCCCGACGTGCCCCCTCCAGCACGTGGGTCAGCCACACACAGAGAGAGGCAGGCGGAGCTCCAGGGGGGGAGGCTTCTTAGAAGCACCCCTGCTTCTTAGAAGGCGCGGGCCTTGTCTATGGATGTCAGGCCCGCGCCTTCGAAGAAGCAGCCTCCTTCTAAGAAGCCTTCCCCCTCCCGGTGGGGATGGGCGCTGCGAGGCCCGGCGAAGGCAGCGCGGAGCCTATGTGTGCGGGGGGGGTCGGTCGGCCGGCGGGGCCGAGGAGGGGGCGGGCGGCGCCCCCGCGGAGGGAGGGCGGGGCCTCGAGGAGGCTGCTTGCAGCCCCCGGGCGCCCTCCACGGGCCACCGGGTCGGGGCTCGAGAGGCGGGGGTCCATGCAAGCGGGGGTCCGCCAGAGCGCCCCGATCTTGCAGGATCTTGCCGGGAGGGAAAGAAACACACACAGACACCATGAATCGTCGATTCCCCCGAAAAGAAGGAAACTATGGGAAGTGGGGGGGTAGACGAAAACCCAGAAAATATTGGAAATATGGGCAATCAGGTTATTTGTGTGTACTTATTTGTGTGTCCTGGGGCCCCTTGATCCTGCAGGGGCAGGGTCGCATTGACCCGGGCTTGGGTGCAGGATCTTGCAGGATTTTTCGCGGGATCGTGCAGGATTGGGTGCAGGATCTTGCATGATTCTGCAAGGTCTGATTGACCCGGCTCTGGATTGACCCGGGTCAGAAGACCCCCGACCAGAGCAGTCCAAAGTCGAGCCCAGACCCCCTTCGCGTTGTGAAAAGGTCACGACGGGAGGTCTTTCGTTTTTGGGGGCCACGGGGGGGCCCCACGGGGCCTCGGGACCGTCAACACACACTCCAGATGAAGAACCGGCCCTGGGGAATAGATCCAGACCTCTGGGGGTCGACGTCATGAAAGAATCATGACGTCGGGGGTCTGGGAGTAACGATCAAGTGCAGAATTGATTTAGCCCCAAAGTAGTTGTTCCGCCGAACCTACGAAAATTACGCAGAATGTTCCGCAGATCTACTGGACAGTCCACCTACTTTCTGCAGCTTCGACGTAAAAACCAAATTGCGGGTAAATCGATATGTAGTCGATCAGCGATTTGAAAAAGAACGGCTCGGGATGCAGAGCCGGCCTCGGGGAAGGGATCCGGACTCGGCGGCGGCCACCCCAGATTTCCAGCGTCGCCAATGAAAAAAACGACGGAGGGGTTTGGGATGTGTTCGGCTTCCCGGGGCCCCCCTTGTGCCCCAGGTGCGGCGAAGAACTGCTCGGGATGAAGGACTGGAGAAAGACCCCGCGAGGAGGTCTGTTTTTCAGGCCATGGCTCGGGCCTCCGGCGGCCGCTCGGGACGACCTGCGCACCCACGGAACGCCGTCGGCGAGGCGCAGCTGCTGAAATGCATCCCGAGGCTGGAAGACGAACGTCCGAGAACGTAAGATAATCTCGGAGCGAGAGGAGGCCAAGCTCGGCCTGCTCCGCGGCGGTTTCGTCGACATCTACGACACCGTCCGAAGACCTATCCGTCGAGCACTGGGGTCC